TATATCATTGCGATGTATGCAATTGTGATATAAAGAGGTCGCACAAGTCTAAACACGAAAGAACATACAGGCACAAGGAACAATTAGAAAAGCAAGAGACTAGGGATAGTTAGATTGGTTTAAGTTATTCTCAAAAATGAATAACTCAAAGCAATTGGTAGGTGGATAGGGTTTCTGGGAAAGTTGAATGGAATTTATGATGTAGATTTTCGGGGTGCTTTCAGAATGGGTTGGAAAGCATAGGGGGGAGTATTGATTGATGAGATGCGGGGTTAGCTTCTGCTTGCTATTACAAGGTCCAAGTCTCCAAGCAACAAAGAAGGTAGGGAGGACCATTAACGTCAATAGCAACACGCCTCGTTGCAATCAAACAATACGCTCAAATAGCGTCATAGACCTAACCAAGCGAAACTAGCAAGAGCAGCTCAAGAATGAGCTCAGTGGTAGCTGCAGCCTCAGCTGCCCTATCGCAGCGCTACGAACCCCCTTGGCATGTCCCACCTGGAGAAGCGTAGAACACATCACATCATGATAGCCAGCCCGAAGCCCAAGCCAGAAACTAAGAAACCCAAAGCCTTAGGCTAAAACTTAAGCCTCAAGAAGCGCCACCCCATTGAAAGGAGTCTTGGCATAGCTCAAGCAGGTGGGCCGCTGGCAGCCATGCACCACAGGAACTTGTTCCGGAGAAGGGACTCCCAAACCTCTCAGAATGAAAGATGAAAGAAAGATGTCGATTCACTACACTCGCACCACGATTGGCCCCATTGATCATCAGCGTGATTACCCTCCCATCTTCAACCTGAACCACACTCTTTCACTGCCTTGGGTCAGCTACGTGAATCAGAGGTGTTTTACGTCGGGGAAAGGATATCAAGGGAGCGGCCCTTTGTTTGTACCCTCCCCCTAGGCTTCATAGTGTTGACAGGCATGGCAAGGCATCTGCTTTGCGGTGCTGATTTGCATTGGCAAGGTACCTTGGTGCTGAATCAAGATCCCGACGAAAGACTATATTCGAGAAGCCCCGAAAAGCCGAACCATGAAATTACATCCCAAGCGCTTGTATGGAATTGTCATTGCTTGCAATTCATACATAAATTCCAACATACACTCAAAACACGCCACTAAACAGCCGCGATGCCCCATAGATTTGAACCTGCAGTTGCTGCTGAAGCTCATTTTTTTCACCAGAAACGTGGCAGTCGCTTCGGCCTTCTCCGTGGAGTCTTCCACGGAGGCAGGCTCGGGCGTCCCTGAAACCTCCAGGCAAACACGCGGCACAAGAAGGGAGGGCATTCAGGCTATGGCTGCAACAGGCTGTGCCTACGTGGATCTGGAGTCACGGGGCGTAACAACAACAGCGGGAAGTTGCACTTTGGGCATTAGATCAGCTTGGGCAGTCTTGAACGCAGGGATTGACACAGTTATGATCAGACTGAGAAATGAGCTGCCACTATAGACTGCTACACTTTGAATGCTGGTCCAAAAAAGATGCTGCTGTCAATTTAATACCACGGACAAGAGTGGAAAGGCTGCGCATCCCCACTATACTGCTGACCGCGAGCACTGCGAGCACTGCACGAACAGCTCCAACAAGCTGCAAGAGAACGGGAGAGAAAACAGAAAGGGAGAGAGAGAGAGAGAGAGAGCAGTAGCACGAGCAATGTCCACACAAAAAAGCCATGGCTGTACTGGCACTGGCCAGCCTCATCCTGAAACCTTGGGGCCGCCCAGTCCTGGATGGCAAGACCAGCAACATTTCAAACGTGAGTAAACGGCATTGTGATGAGTCACAAGGTGAGCAAGAAGAAATGTCATGGCAATAAGCAGACACCGTGTTTGCAGCGAACACGACCGCATGAGCTGAATAGATGTGTGCAAGACTTGCTTTGTCTCATGCGATCTCGACAGGAAACAGCAGGACCTGGCCAATTGAGAAAAACTTTCTGGTTTTGACTTGGGACTTGGACGTTCAGCTTTTGGGGTTCCGGATGGCTGGGACGATTGCAGCGAGCGCTGCGAGATTGTGGAAAGTTGTATATGGACTCTTTGCTGCTCTCTCCACTACAAACCAAGACGTCAAAGTGGCTGCGACAAACGGTATTGAGAACTCTCTACACTTTCTTCTGTTTGTTGGGAAAACCGTTCTCATTCTGTTGCGAAAGTACCAGCAACGAAATTGCAATAGTTATTGCAGTTCGGGGTCTGCTTATCCAGCAGTGGAAACAAGAAGTGTCAGAACTCGCAATCGTCGTCGTCGTCATCGTCGTCGTCATCGTCGTCATCGTCGTCGCCCCCGCCCCCGCCGTCGTCGTCATCGTACTCATCGTCGCAGTCGCAGTCGCAGTCGCAGTCGCAGTCGCAGTAGCAGTAGCAGTAGTAGCAGTAGCAGTAGCAGTAGCAGTAGCAGTAGCAGTAGCAGTAGTAGTAGTAGTAGTAGTAGTGATAGTACTAATAATAGTAATAGTAATGGTAATAGTAATAGTAGAGCAGTAGCTTCACACCACAGCCCGGCATCGAAAGTCAAAGGACCTTTTTCCAAGTCGACGTCTGAGACGGAAGGCCTGACAGCGCGTTCTCTTAAATCTGAAGGAGCAAAAGGCAGGTGGTTCAAGGAGCCTCTGCAAACCCACTCTAAAATCCTGATATCTCAGCTTGACGCTCCTACTTGAAGCACCTTCAGGCTTAGGATCGTTAACGTGCGATGTTCTTTCCAGCTGCAGCACAAAGCTATGCGAACACGTGCACCAAATTGAGAAGCAATTAGTAGGCTGTGCCTAGTCTCATTAGCATCCTGACTGCAGTCAGTACTCCTGTCACTCAAGGTCACGTCACATCAACACTATTCCTCCGTTGCCACTGACTTCTTGGTGTCTGCTGCACTTCTACCATGCGATATGTACCCCCAAATGGTGTTTAGCTTGCTCAGCTGTTGGCACAGTTGAATGAGCCAAGCTGTCATGCTCGCGAGGCCGTCAGGAGCTCGAAAAATGCGCCCGCTTGCATGCATTGTAGACGAAGTCTGTCAAAGCCTCAGCCGGCACTTACGCTGCCATCCATTTCCACAGTTCTGGGGGTTCTCAGTTTGTAGCTTGACTCTCTTGTCTTTGATTAAAGCAAGTGATGGCCTCAGCCTCTATCATGACCATACCTTTTGGAATCCTACAACCGAAACTCATTCAAAACAACCAAGACCTCAGCATACCCCCCAATCAGCTGAAAGCCTAACCCCCACACAATCAGCTGTAGCTTCTAACCTTCAACAGCCTGAACTTGCACCCGGTTCTCTGAGGCCAAGGCCATGCCTATGGCCACCCTTGCCGTTCCCCAGCCCAACTGCATGCGCTGCTGCAGGAACTTCAGAGAAGCCCAAGTGGAGTCCTCAGAGTGATATGATATGAGATGGGTTCTCATGACTAGGTAGGCCTTTATTAGTTTGGAGGCTTGGTGCTGTCCGCCCTGAACACGCTCTGGATGTAAACTGCAATCCTGCATTGCCGGCGTACGTAAGCAAGCTCATATTATGCCCTGTCGCCCTCCAAGGCAGTTGTTTTCTTCGGGAACATACGCCTGTATGTACTCCGGGCGCCCTGCACGAAGGACCATTACTTCGAAATTGCTGGAACGAATCATGGATCTTGATGAGTGATGATGGAAGTCCAATCCGTCTACATAAACAAACGCATGCCAGGTCTTCCTAAACAAGTGGATCCCAACAGTCTAGGATCCTCCCTTCCCCGCATCCCTTTCTGGTCCTGTTTCAAGGCTCCTTGCCAAAGTGTGCCCATGTGTGTCCGCCAGAATTGCCTGAAGTTGCATGTTGCTTTCGCACACAGTACCACATAAAAACCATGTTTCATATGTTCACTACAGACGAGACACTCATATTCATTATATTCATATCTGTCATGTCCGCGCTCCTACTCGTCCCTTGCATGAGTGGGGGGGATCTTCAAATCATGACCCGGGCCGCTGGCGTTTTCTCTGGCCAGCGCTCCATGCCCACCTTCAGGCTTTCTGCATAGGCCATGTTCCTGCGCGCGCATATAGATGGTATGTTTGCACAGAACTGCGTCGTTCCGAATATACCGAGATGTATATCTATATGGATGCGCAACATGCTGACGTCCGCTTGAGAATATGTGCATACATAAACCACCCCCAGAAACCAACCTTTTCACCTTGATAAAGGATACCTAATGCTATATGATTAGGCATGGGAGCACGCGCTAAGGCGATAGAAGCATCTTGGGCAAGCAATGCCCCATACAAGCAAGACCCGATTGGATCCAATCGGGGGCGACTGGATCCAACCTGTGGCCAGAACTTCTAGGACGAGCTGTTTTCTGAAAATCCTCAACCTTCAATCCAACATCCAATCGGGGGCTGGGCTAAAGGTTGAATCTACCAAGTAATTGAAAACAATCTCAAACCCTTTCCACATCAAGCCTCAACAGAATGAACCCTCAAAATAAACCTTGCACGGGGACCTCCAAAACTAATGTATTTCACTGCGGTCGCCACGGCTTTGAGTGCATTTGGGTTTCTGGGTTCCATATGCGTGTGTATGTGTATGTATATATATATATACGCAGAAGACGTTGCTGTGGCACCTTGGCTTTTGCATGCCTGCTTTTTTGCTATCACTTGGTGAATTTTCTACATGTGAATATACGTACACATCCATATGCGATAGGTCTTGTAGTCAGACGTCCGATACACGCAAGTACCTTCACTCATGCATAGGTGCTTTCGCGAGGCGTTGCCAGGCCTGACGTAATTGAAGGGCGAGCTGAGTGTAGTGCCTGCAGCCTTTGGACGAATTCATTCGCGTGTAGAAGACAACAAGGCTTCGTGCATACCACAAGGCCACCAAGGGCCCCGACAGCGAAGAGCACTCCCACGCAGAAGTCCGGTGCCCGGTGATCCTGGCCTCATTGCTGACTGCTTTCGGCAGCGATAGCTGTGCCGCATGGGTAAAGTCTCAGGTTTTTTCCCTATGTTTTTCCGTTTTGTTTTGTATTTTTTTTCCGGTTCCTCTTGTTGTTGCTATTAATTAGATTAGTAATACTAGCAGTAATAGTAATAGGTGGCTCGCTTTTTTTGACCTTCGAACGCTCCAAGCGCTGTAAATTACAGCGTTGGCTCGTCTTGGAACGTGTCAAATGTTGCAAATTACACCATTTGCTGGTCTTGGACAGCTTCAAATGATGCAAATTACAGCATTTGCTGGATTTGGAAGGTCTCCAATGCTGCAAATTACACCACTTGCTGGTCTTGGAGCGCTTCAAATGATGCAAATTACACCATTTGCTAGATTTGGAACGCTTCAAATGCTACAAATTACAGCATTTGCTAGACTTGGAACGTCTCAAATGCTGCAAAAATACACCAATTGCTAGACTTGGAACGCTCAAACGCTGCAAATAAAAGCATTTGCTAGACTTGGAACGCTCAAACGCTGTAAATTACAGCATTTGCTAGACTTTGAACGTTATAGCATTTGCTTGTTTTGGAACGCTTCAAACGGTGTAAATTATAGTGTCTGCTGGTCTTGGGATGCTTCAAATGCTGTAAGTGACAGCGTCTGCTGATCTTGGAAAGTTTTACATGCCTTAATTTGCAACAAATGCTGGTCTTGCAATGCTCCACTCCTTGAACTAGTGGGAAAAGACTGGGCGTTTGGAATTGGGGGTACAAGTAAGACGTAGGTGCAGGCTTGGTGTGTTCAACTTAAGTGCTGGTTGATACGGAATTATGGTGTTCAAAAGGAATCACCATATCATCGAAGAGTCTATAGCAGCTATGCTTAAAGGCACTGCCAAATCAGCTGGCATTTTGACTTAGCCTCTTCCGGGAAGGCATCGAGCACACGGGTCAAGAAAGGTGCAGGAAGAAATGAAGCCACGCCGTTTGGCTGGAACGCCAGCAGGAATTGGAGGGGCCTGCGTTTTGATTGCAGCAGCAGCCTCGCGCAGAGTCTTGAAGCGCCCATTGCCCCAAGGAAGCTCGGCAGTTGCAAGCTCCAGATATAAACATCCCAAGCTCCAAACATCACTTTGGCAGGATCGGAGCCCACTTGCCATCACCTCCGGAGCCATCCATAACAGAGAGCCGGGCACATGCCGGCAGTTACCCGCGCCAGCATCTGCTTCCCAAACTACCGCTCCAAAGTCACAAATCTTGAGGATGCTGTTGTTTTGGGTCAAAAGGATATTGTCTGCCTTCAAATCGCCGTGGATCAGGCCAACGCTTTGGAAGTAATCAAGAACGGGCACCAACTGCAACAGGCTTGCGTCCAACTGCTGCTCTGATAAGGGACCCCACCGCGCAATGAACTGACCCAGGCTGCCTCCCGGCATGTACTCCATGAACATTTGCACGCAACTCTCGATCAGGCCAAAACCACGACACTGGACGACATGTGGGTGGCGAACGGCGGCCATGACGTGGATTTCACGCTGCAAAGAGGCCCCGTTTGCCTTGGCCTTCTTCACCGCCACGACGCAGCCCGTTGTCAGGTCTGTGGCTTTGTACACAACTGCTTCGGATCCCTCGCCCAGCATGTGTTCCTCACCAAGCGTATGCTGCTCGTTTTGCATGCATTCTTGTGCCGCAGGCTCGTCGAGGCTGGATGAGACCTCTCAGCAACTGCGCGCAACTGCACAAGCCAGCAGGCCCCCAAGATTAGCAGACAACAACTCTCATGTAAACCATGTGACATTGAACAAACTCT